AGTTGAAGAAAAAGAATTGTTTGGGTAATAGGAGGGCTGGTCGGCATGGGCTGGGTGGAGGAAATAGAGGGCAAGATTGGAAAGTCTGAATAATTTTCACTTTACATTAAAACTCGTGCCAAGTCAAAACGGGAAGTTTCAACTGGGACGGAGGGAGTATTTTATTAGGTAGGGCCGAAAATAAAGAGTTGGAAGGAGGAAGAAGTTTGTGTTGATTTACAACTCTACATCCACAATATTACGAGATAGGACCTTCTTTATGGGATATGTTAACACACCATTTCGAGTGAACTTCATCCACCCTCTTGGCCGAAAAATTGGAGAAAAATATACTTCATATTTTTCTTCATCATTCCCAATAATATTCTATATATATATATATATATATATATATATATTACCTTCGTCCCACTCTCTTTGTCCACTTTTGACTTTTGGAACTGTTCATCTAAGTACTTTGACTCATCAAATTCTCTCAATGTGTAAGCCTAAATATAGTCATGTGTCATCTTGTTTGATTTGTCTTAACATATAGATTATTAATATATAATTTCTATAATTTTTTAATATATAAATTACAAGATAAAATGAATTAAAGAAGTGCATTGGATGGTGTGTCAAAAGTTAAGTGGACAAAGAGAGTGGGACGAAGGGAATATATATATGTGTGTGTATATATATGTATATATATACATACACACATACATACATACATACATACACACACATTTTTTTAAACTGAACATTGGTTTATTTCACAAATAAACTTACTAAGTACACGTTCGGGCAGAACTAGACCAAAGCCCCGAAAGTTAAACTTAAAAGAAAGAGGTACACATACATAAAAGTTCCAAAAGCAGAGAAGACAAAAATATGCTCAATACAGAGGATCTCCGCTTGCTCTTCTAATTCCTGCTCTATCTTCTTCTCGATTCCTCATTCTTCCGGCGATCTGACTATTGCTCTCCCACATCTCATTTGATGGCGTTTTTCAGAATCTTTCCTCCGAGTGCAAACAATTGAAGCCCAACTCGATGGAGGTTGTCATCATAGATGCGCGCGGGCACACACACATACATACATAGATACATACATACATACATACATACATACATATATATATATATATATATATATATATATATATATATATATTTGAAAAGAAGAACTTTTATTAAAAAAATAACAATATCAGTACACGTCTGAGGAGGACTAGACCGTAGCCTCAGAGGTCAAAAGAAAAAAAAGACATATCCTGCTAATGTAAACAGAAAAGGGGGGATGAGAGTGGGACGAAGGTAGTGGACTTCATCCGTCCCAAATTATAATGCAAGTTCACTATTCACAGGGTCAAACTTCATTCACTTTCTTTCTCTATTTTCGTTAGCAATTTGATAAAATAAAGTAATATTGTCACTACTAATTTTGTAGATCTTTTGATGTAGTATTTTAATATGTAATTTTTATTTTTTAACTATATACCATTTGTCATATAAAATGATTTGAAAATAATTTCAATCAAACATCGTAAACCGAAACAAGCGTTATAAAATGGGACGGAGGGAGTATTAAATTATTTTTGGCATTTTTATGTTTTATTTAATGTAATATTTTTTTAATAAAATAGTTATAGAATTTTTTGTGCTTGTACATCAATATTTAAAGTATACTTTTTATTTAAAAAAATATACTCCGTATATCTTAGAGTGAAAAAATATTCATTTAAAATAAATAAAATTATTTGTATAGAATGTCAAAAGTTTAAAATGTATAGGAGCTCGTACGAAGCACGGGATTGACACTAGTTATAGTAATATTCTAGGAAGAGTTTACTAGCATAAATTCTTCATAGGACATCGTTCGTTGTCCGTGTGGACGCACTACAGGTTGGATCATTTGTGACTGGTTTGTTGCACCAATCCCTTTACTTGCACCGTCCGATATATTTTCAATGAGAAAAGGTAATTTTCTTAACAATAATTTATAATTTCCGTAAGGCGATCTTGGGCGGTAACGACGATTGGATATAAAATTTTGTTTTCCACTGGCTATCCATGCGTGGTTACCCAAGACACTTTAAAAAAACAAATACTCCATAGAAGATCTGTAGATGGGAAAGAAAACAAACCCAATGATGAGGGAGTATAGATTAAGAGTCAACCATAGCTGAAGGAAGCTTCAAGCCATAGTCAACAATGGCAGAGATATATAGATTTGAACAAACATTAACCGGGACATAGCTCAAAATCCAACCAAAAGTAAATATTGAAACAGCTAAAATGATCATAATCATGTGGAGAACTCAAATTTATTGGTAGATTAGTTAATCGTGGAAGGAGGAGGTTCAATTTGACGTTGGCGATGGAGGAAGAAGGGGCCAACTTCTCGAAACCAGAAGAAAAAAAAGATAAAAGATAAGGTATGCCTAGGTGAACCGTGGACTGGGCTAAAACATTACAGAGTATTTATATTTCGGTCCTTTCGGTCGTGGACCGGACCGGACTAAAACCTGAAACCTTAAATAATCTGGACCGAAGACCGACCCAAAATTTACTTGGTCCGGGTTCGGTCTGGACCTAATGGTCCGGTTCGGTCGGTTATTTCAGTCCAGACCTAAACATGAACAACATGAACAGGCCTAATTACAATAACACAAGAAAGCATCTCATCATCTCCAAAATCGAAATAACCCATACATAGGGTTCAAACACAATCAGCTGTCACCATGTGCTTTAACATAAACTACACATTTCATAAATGGAAACATAACATAGCCATTAAACATGCATACCGCTCTGTTACTTGTATTCAAAATGTTTCAAGTAAGAAAAGGTCATTCATTGCATGGAGCAAATCAGAAGGTCAGAAACTTACATTCCTAAGGAATGACAAGCAGATATGAACATATAAAAGTGCTATTGAAAACCAAGGTGTCTCTCTCAGACCTCTGAAGTCCAAATATTTCATTACATGTTCTGTTGTACGACTTCAAATCTACTGGAGTTTTAAAAAATGGATGCTTTCAGAACTGTTTTCTCTTGTTCCGAAATAACTTTTCTCTCTTTGCAAAGATATAGAAAAGACCAATGAAAATACCAGCAGACATAGAAAATGACACCCATGGGAATGGTGGATCCTTGAAGCAAACAAGGGATGCCTCCAAAACTTGTGAAGCGCGGTAAACAAGAGAGTGAGCAGCGTACAGATCATGATCTGATGACCTGAGATAGTACAATGCCATCTCGAAATCAAAATGTGACAAAGCAGAAACTGCCTTATCCAGCTTGTATTTGAACAAATTCCACCTTTGGACAAGCTCAAGAAGCTCGCTACGCTTGAGGAGTTTTCTCTCCCCACCATGGGCAGCAATGGATTCAACTACATCAATGGCACTGGTGAGACTACTGTTGAGGTATGTCAATAGAACATTCCTTCTGGCAGCATCCTTCTGCACGAAAGACAGAGACAAAATCTCTGAAAACGGACCAAATGGTGTGTTTCCGACGCTCCACGTATAGTCCACAAGAGTGCTGTTGTGCTTAGGGCCCCACAGCAAATGTGTTGGGGAGACTCCCCACATACTCTGTAAAATGGAACCAACAAGAGGCCTCTCCAGCTCACGAGTCTGGGAAAAAACATGGCGTCCATTACAACTATAGTCACTGACAGCCTGGGTACTCTTCGTCCTGACCGCAATAACCATATCTTTGAATGCCACAGCCTGATGGTAACGGTCGAGCAACAAAATCATGCTGACATCCAAATCAAAAACATAGACTGGGACAACCCTCCCAAAACCTTCATCAAAAGGAAGCTTCGCCACCCGTCTGAACTCGTCCGCGGATTCTGACAAAGTCTGGTGTAAGCGTTTTGAGTCCAGATACTCACTAACAATCAGGGTGTAGTTATCAAATAAATACCTAGAAGTGTAAGCAGTAGTTGCCTTTGTAATGGCAAAAGAACAAATTGAGCACTCGGTTAAATTCACCTCATACTTCTTAAAGCTTAAAGATTGATCACCCAACAATAACCCTTTATCATTAGCTTCATCCACAAAGGTCTTCTCTATTGACTTCCAATCCAATCCAGTGCTATCTTTGTTTTCGGGTGAACCATTTATGTGTATGAACTGAACAATCAAGGAATCCTCAAAAGGGACAGGAATCCTCAAAGAAGGAACAGCAAGTACCTGGTAAGCACTCCAAACCAGTGAAGCCAAGTCAGAAAGCATAGACTTTTGAGACTTGGGTCGGCCGTGGATGGACGCCAGTGGATGAAACTCGCCCCTAGGCATAAGACCATCGCCATAGAGTGCTGGACCATACTCCACTGGGCCAGCCCCTAAGTCGATCCAGATGTAACGGTCTTTCCCTGTCCAAATGGTGCCTAAGCACTTGGTAACTGCCCGGGACTGATCACCATGGGTGTAGCTATAAGCATAAGGCTTAGACTGGGGGCCCAGATTGAGGATGTAAACATATATTCCATTGGTGGGCTTCTCCTTTTCGAAGTCCTGCCTGATAATCTGGTCGATGGCGGTGTAGGTAAGGGAGGTGAGATGGGATCGGAAGCTAGAAGGAGTGGAGGCTAGCTGGGTTTTTAAGCTTTCAGAGAGATGCGAAGCAAGCGAAGCGGGGGCGAGGGATACTTCCGGGTGGAGAGAATGGGAAAGCGCGAGATGATGAGTGGGGTGGGTGGTCAAAGGGGAGATGACATGGTAGTGATCGAAAGAGACGGAGGAGGCGATGAACGACGACAGGATACTAGGGGAAGAGGAGGAGAAGGCGCTCCCAACAAGCTTGACTGTAATTGGGACGGAAACTTGAAGGGAAAGGAGGGCGGCGATGGTGAGCGGCGGATGAGCCGATGTTTGGGAAAGAGTATTTTTCAGATGGGAAGGTAGAGAGAAAAATGAGTCATTGGAGGCTTGCGGGTCGAAACGGGACTGCTGGGTGAGGAAGGAGTCCAGTCCCAGAATTGGGGCGGAGCTTGTGAGTGTGGCGGAGAAGAGGAGCCGGAGGATGAGGAGGAAGACGATGGTCGGCGTCATCTTTGATCCTTCCGCCGATCCAGTTTGACAAGAAATGGGTCATCTCGTCTGATCTTATTACCCTTTCTACTTATTGGACCCAGGGGTGCAAGAATCTCATTGTCCCAGATGAGCAAATTAACCGGACCGACCGCGAAACCGAAAACTAAAATAACTGGAAGTTCGGCTTCGGTTTCGGTTTTCATGTAAAAATTATTTTCGGTTTTTTTAGTTTTTCGGTCGGTTTTCGGTTTTTTTGTAAGAAAAACCGAAACGACCGAATAACCGATGATTTTATTTTAATTTATTTTTTAAAATAAGAAAATATTTGATTAACACACATGTTTTCTTTTTACTTTTTCATGGAAAAATATAATGTTTCACTTTTAAAAAATTATTTGTTAATGTTTTGAACATATTAATAAGAAAAGTGCAATTTTATATGAAATGGATAGTGTATATTCAAATAAAAATTAATCCACCTTACTAAATCAATGACAATAGAAAATTCTTAATCTAAACTAATTTAATACATATCAATCTACCTTGCCGAACTAGTTTCTGGAATTTATATTAAAAAATCAAAATAAAAGTAATTAGAATTCGGTTTTTCGGTCTGTTTTTTTGATGTATGGGCAGTTTTCGGTTTCGGTTCAGTCGGTTTTAATTTATGGTCGGTTCGGTTCGGTCCGTTTTCAACCATGTTAAAAAAAGTCAGTTATTTCAGTTTCAAAGCGAAACCGACCGTTGCTCAGCCCTATCCCTCCCGATCTAAAATTTTCTTCAGCTATTTTTTCATTTTGGTGCTTAAACTTCATTTTTTCAAAAAATACATGAGTTTGGAAATTTTTTCACAAATGGTACCTAAAGCTAGTTTTTAGGTAGGTCATTTAAGCCAAATTAATTTTATATATTTTAAAATCTTCAATTTGATCTCATTTCTTTTTTCTTATTTCCCCCTCTCCGACTCCCTTCCCTTTCTTCTTCTTTCACGCCTTTTTTTTTTCTTTTTTCTTCTTTCACCCCTTCTTTTCTTCTTCTTCCTTCTTTCACCCATTTTTTTCTTCTTCTTCATTAAATCCTCCACTCACAACAACCCACCCCTCCCTTCTTGTTTAACCCCACCCCCCTTCTTGAGTCCACTCTTTTTTTTAATTTTAACATCCTCTTTAAATATTTTTTGTTTTCGAATTTTTTGTTGAATAACTTTTAAATTTTTTTCCAATTTTTTCCTGATATATGTCTTTTTACTTTTTTTTCGGTCTTTTTTATTTGTAAATTTGGTTTTTGTTTTTTTCTATTTTTTCTCAATGTTTTAATATTATTTGTTTGTTTGTTTACTATTTTTTTACTAACTTTTTTGTTAGTTTTTCTATCTTTTTGTTGACAAATGTCTAATTTTTTGTTCTATTTTTTTTGTTTGACCTATTTTTTTGTTTGTTTTCGATCTTTGTTGTAAAATATTAAATAAAAATAGTCAAATAAAATCAGCCCAAAACAAATAAAAAAGGAGAACTAGAAACAATAACCATAATGTTAAAAAAGTTACTAATTAATCTTTTGTTTTTGTTTTCTATCTTTTGTGTTAACAAACGTCTTATCTTTTTTGTTTCGTATTTTTATATTTTTTTTCATAAAAAGAAGTAACAAAAAATAATTGTAATTCATTCTTTTTTTGTTTTATTTATATTTTTTATTTTTTCATTTTATTTTATCTGTTTTCAATAAAATAGAATTGATTAATTAATAAAGTAAAATAAGCCGAACGAAGAATAATTGAAACATAGAATGAGAACCACTGCAAGCACAAAAAAAGAATCCAAGTTTCAATTACTCCATCCATTTCAAAATAGATTATAATTTTTTTGCGACCTACCTCTTGATAACTTTTGTTTGGTTGTATATTTTATTAATTATTCATATACAAATTTGTAAATAAGTTAATTTTAAAAAGTGTGAGATTTTGTCTCGTAAATGAGAAATTGCAATTCAAATTGGGACGGAGGGATTAATTTTTACATTATTTTTATGAAAAATATAATACATTAAATAGCAATAAAAAAAGGAGTACAATTATTATATTAATTCAAATAGACAAAGTATTATATATTAATTCAAAATTCAAATTATATTATAAGGAGTACAATTATTAAAAGAATGAAAAAAAAATAATGAGTCTGAACAACGTCAAAAATGGATAAAGGAAACAATTGAGAATTGTATATTATACGAAATACGAAACAATGCAGTGTCAGTTTGGTATTGGGTTTTTGCATGTTTTTACGTTATGCCCCAAATTCAAACAGCGTGTGCATCTTTGCTTTCTACGCCTCTGGCCTATTTGAAATTCACCAACGGATGGAAGTCTCCTCTTCTTTGGTCTACCCGGGTGACGCTTATTACAAGATGGAGGCTTGCAAATCACTGATGCCACATCCGGCGGAACACTCCAGGAAGACTGTAACACCCTAATCCGTCCAGGTCTGCAGCCCCTTTCAGACTAAAGTATTGATTTGGTAATTGTGATAATTTAAAACATTTCAAACATTTTTATTTATAAATAATATTCCATACATAATTGTAGAGAAATACGGAGTGTTTAAATAAAATGCGGAAGTGACTTTAAAATATGTCTCATAACAACATAATTATTTATTTCATTCAATAATCTACCACGATTGTCTCGCCCCTTCTGCTGCCAGGAATCAGCCAATCGTTCATTCTTCCTACCTGCGTGTAGCAAATAAAACAGACTACACGCTCAGCGGTGAACCTGAGTAAGAATATCTAATGCGTCGAACATTCACATAAATTGAATCTCGATTCATAATCAACCATTTGATATCATGCACACAATATATAATTCAAACATTCATGATATTCTCAATATTTTATTCCATGTCATTTGATATTCAATATCTCAACAATGCTCTTAAATTATTCTTAATCTAAGGTCAAATCATTTTATAACAACTCTTAGCTATTCCTAGTCTAAGGCAACATTTCTAACCAGGCCCTTAAACTATAAATAGTTTAATGCAGAACACAAGAATCGATAATCCACCCTATGAGTCATGTGGATTACGTACCAAACGAACAGTGAACTGTCGGGTGGGTGATATCCGGTCTGGATCCCGTACGTATGTTTTAACCCCGAAATATGAATTGGTCAAGGAGGTATATCTTAGAGTTCTTCTAGATATCCTTAATAATCATCATCATTATACAAGTGGGTATATCTTAGAGTTCTTATAGATATCCTTAACAATATAGATCATTTTCGTAATCATCATTATATCCATTTTTAATCATGATTTAATCAATAATCATACTAATAAGTAGGTTAATCATTCATAATTGGCCACAATAATAGTTCATCATAATGATCATTCAACATAACATTTAATAAC